AAAAAAAAAACAAACACACAACTGAAAAAAAGGGCAGAATCAACACAGAACGGGAATCGTGCTAAGAAGGGAACGCTTTTATCCAGGTTATGACAACGTACTCCCAAGCAGGAATCGCTTCCTTTCTCCAGTTAAGTTGAGCGGTCTTCCAATAAAATGAAGAGTGGTGGGGGGATGAAGTTAGTGTGCATTTCCCTGGAAAAATCACCTCTAACTCATGCCAGTTAAACACTAGAACTAAAAATTTACAGAGAAGCGTCAAAGGAGATGGAAGTGTTATTAGAGTTACCTTTTCCTCTCTGAACAGTCCAGAAGAAAAACAGTGACTACAAATACAGCAGGCAAACTGACTGTTGGGACTGATGGGTATAGGATATATATAGTGTTGTAAGGAATTCAGTCTCAAGTTGTGCTAAACGCTCTTCATCCTCTGTATGGCACATTTTGGTCCATGATGGGGATTTTAAATTGAGACGAACCCCAATTTCTTACAGAAATGTGTAAATATTGTTGCTTTTTAAAATGCCAGGTGTAATTCCTTCTACAAAGGTTAGGAGAGGCTTATAGGAAGTAGTCTGGGGTACGACGGGTAACGTGAGGCTCTCCACGACGAGGTGCTGGGTCAAACTGGAGGCTGCAGGAAAGAAAAAGGCATCATTTTCCCTCCTCCACAAGGTATTTTCAAATGCCACAATAAATGCTAGACTTGCTCTCCTGCTGCTATTGCTTTTCTCATCCCAGCTGCTTCCACATAAAATGTTCCAGGTCCCAAAACAAGGATCTGCGGGAGTTAAAACTCATCAGCTGGTCGAAATGCTTCTTACTCAGTGAACACCACCCTGCACTTCAGCAGCCTATCGCTTACTTTCAGGTGAGCCCTGCTGAATGCCAACTTCAGACTTTCTCACCCAGCTTTACAAAGCCTAGTGCTACCAAAAATAAAAATAAACACAGACATCCATCTGTCTTTACTCTCTCCATCAAGCTTAGGCAACAGAGGGATTAAGAAAATGCAAAAGCTCCAACTCTCCAGAGAGCCAGAAAGAGGAGATAATGCAGTACGCAAGCAAAGCTTTTAAAAGCTTAACTCACTACTTATTTTTAGATATTATTGCAGGTAGAGCATATACAGTTAATTCCAGGATGGTTTGAGCTGGCTTTTCACAAAAAAACCCCTTTGGACAGATCAGGCATTCCTCACAGTACAGAACAGCTAGGAAGAGAAAGAACAGCCCGAGCTAGGTTACTCACAAGGAATATTTTAAAGTGTCATCTAGTTCCATGATAGCAGCCTGGTTCCCACACCGATAACAGTAATTGGGTGCACTGAAAATGGTAACCACATTTCGGTCGTGGCACCAATTATAACCCTGCCGGGGGGAAAAAAAAAACACAAAACACACACACACACCACAGAAAAAGAGAAAAAAGGTCTCTGTTAAACCTCAAAACTCAACCCGTCTGAAGTTCCTCTTAGGTCTGAAACAATCCAAGGCATTTGTGAAACTGTAGACTTCTCGTAAGTATTTCTAACGGACTTTGTTTCATTTTAAAAGACCTTTACTGCAAGAACAAGCTGTAGTTACTTAACAAAAACAGTTTCAACCACTCCACTGAGAGATCGACCATTTGTCACTTGTGCGTTTATCCTTTTTGAATACAAGTTATGGATTGTACCACAAAGAAACCTTGAGATTTTTAGGTATGCCATCAGCTTTCATCCACCACAAACGAGAATTTGCCTGCTGGATGCGAGCAACTTCTGACACACAGTAGTACTTAAGGGATCTACTTGAACTCAATTTTAAAAATACATCTGCTCCATTGACCCACCTGGCATTTTTCCAGCAAGACACACAAGAATAGCCTATCAACAGCCAAAATTGTGGCTTAATCCCTGTCACATCTGACTGCTGAGTATTACAGGACAGCCTGTTTAATGCAGCAGCAGTCCAAGTAGAGCAGTCAGTGTGTAAGGAGATTATTACTTCCACAAATGGGGTCCCTTCGGCAATTTACTTGGTACAGGGCAGGGGGAAAGGCAAAACATCCCTTTATTTACACCTCACGTCAAAGCACGTAATTTTATGTTGCTTGTTGCTTCCACATGATTCAAGTCCCTCTTTGGCATTTACCTGTGCAACGTTTAGGTGCCAGCTTATGCAAACCCATCAGCAGGTCTCACAGAGGAGACAAGAATTCACATCTATGTTTTGTTAGCCCCATCTAGCAGAGCGCTTGCCCTACCTCCATGACAAGTTGGTGAGCGCGGGAGACCAGTGTGAGACCATTGGCATGGTTAAATGTTTCAGAAATATCTTGCCCAAACGTGTAGCCAGCACCACGTGGAGATATACCCCAGCCACCACGATCATCCGGATCCGACCATAACAGATCACACATAGGACCCTTGAAAAAGATTAAGTGTTCTACATTAGATCACTAGCAAGACAGTTCTAAAAAGCCACTGTTAAAATATATTTTATTTACAGCAAAAACACTGTCAGCATGTCCTTTGCACAAGACACATAAGTTTAACACACATAGTATCGCCTAGCTACCTCACTGCATCGGTCAGCACCCTTCCCAAAGAAACAAATACGTACACAGCTGACTGAGAAAGGAGTCCATGTAACCAGAAAAGCATTCCCACCTCCTCTTCCACGCACACTGCTTACCGCTTCACTTCAACTAGTCAGAGACACAAAGACATGGAGAGCAGAACCACGATCTTATTCCTGACTCTCACAGTATAATAAAAAAGGCCACGTGAGAAGGGATGCACATCCAAGGATAGACAATGGGTTCACTGGTGCCAGACAAGTTGGAATAAATTAAAGAAAGGGAAACGACCTGTAGGGCACTATGAATTAACTGTTCCAGAGATTAATGTTAAGCCCTCAGCAGCCCTTCTGGCAGGGTATTAATCATTTCATTTCCTCTCCTAAACAGTCTGTTGTTGGACTTGATGTATTAAAAAATATCCTGGTGTACTTCTAACAGTCACAAAAGCAGCTCAGCGGCTCTTCTTGCTGAGCTACTAAGGGGCAGTAAAGACCCTCTAGTATCCATCGAAGCTTGCTGCTGTGTCCTACCCTCCCACCTGAGCTCTGCGGTAGGGATCACACTGACTACGTGTGAAGGTCCTCAGGACAGCCAGATATGCAGCACAGGACAGGGAAAACCCCAGGGCAACATAATAATCATTACACCAAACCACAGGTAAAGGGTCCACCAGGTATGGAACCCACCTGATTCTCTGAGTAATTTACATAGCTTATTTTCAGCTTTTTGGAAGGCTTGGGCAGGCCTTGCTGCATTGTTCTTGCTATTACACCAACGGCGTTGCAGGACAAGGGAACTTCATTTTCATCAGGGAACATTCAAGTTCATTTGTAAGCCCCAACCACTCCAGCACAGAAGACACATTTGCTACCCTGGGAGCTCAGAATGCAGTTTTCTTTGGTTCTGACCTCAGGAACCCAGAAAGTGATGAACAAGATGAGACAGAAGAAAAGACTGGCTAGGGAGGAGGACGGTGACACAGCATGGCTTCACATGGTGGTTATCTGTTCACAAGCAAGTCTGTGATGAGGCTGAAGGCAGTAAACACCTTCCCCTGCCAAATACTATTCTTTGAGTCAGTGTGACAGTCAAAAAAACCTATGATGCTGTGAAAACCCCATAGCCCTCCTTTGAGCATATCTACTTGTGTGTGTTTTCCCCAAATGTATGTTCATCTGCTCTAGCTTTTAGAAAGGCAATAATCCACTGTGTAACCATGTGTCTCACTGTTTAAATGGATTTCAATGTGAGGCTACATTTGCATTTTCCACCAATAGAGATCTATGTTTGATGCATTTCCCTTCCTGTTACCTCGTGTGGAACTTCCTGCAGGCGGTCCAGAGCCCTGATATGATCCAGTGTATCTATGGATGGAGACAGGCCACCGTGGAGACAGAATATCTGTTCCAGAAAAAAGGAGCAATCTGTTCAGTGCATATTGTTATGGGAAGACTGAGCTCAGAAATAGCTGGTTTTAAACTGTTATCATTCTTTTACAATTCCAGCAGTCTCACAGGTGCAGCAGAGAAACCAAATTTAATTCCCACAGAAGGAAACAAAACTAGAAGGCTGCACCTTGCATACAGAGATCAGAGCAACAGCAAAGATACCATGCCTTCCGTTTTAAGGAGAATCTCGCCTCATGGCCACAACTCAACTCACATCTCCTGTATCACGAGGGGATCCCCACTTGTTGACCAGTCCTTTACAATGAACCATACATGCAATGACCTGACATGCCTCTGGGAGCAGAATCAAAGGCCTTCCCACACCATCAACTTGTAGTAACACCTCACTACACTCTGCCCCAAACCCACAGTAAGTACACGGGCTTTAAAAAAATTCAGATCACAAGTTAAGGGAGCTTATTTGAGACTGTTTATGTAGAGGTTAGACAATACAGTCTGCATGACTATGAAATAGAGCATTTTTCTTATTCAAAGCTTACCTGGCCATCTACTAGAGCTGTGAGTGGAAGATAATCAAAAAGATCTGTGAAATACTTCCAGACATTGGCGTTGCCATACTTTCGCAGACATTCATCATAAAAGCCATACACTTGCGTAATTTGTCTGCTTTCGTGATTGCCCCTCAGTATTGTAATGCGTTCTGGGTACCGCACCTATCGACAAAGAAAACTCTTCTTCAACACCAGAATTGTACCATCAATATGGAAAGAAACAGCAACAGAGTATTTCAAACGGCAGTCAAGCACTCAGCTCTGTTATAGAATAGCACGTGTCCATTAACGCCTTTCAGTTTTACATCCGCCTAGCTCAAGCCAACAGCGGCATCAATGGGAGGAGCGATTCTTTCAAAACTCCCCAAAAGCGTGGTTTTGCCTAAGGCTGCTGTGGAAAAGCTGTCAAACCATACCTTCAATGCCACTAGAAGAGTCACCGTTTCCACCGAGTAATAGCCTCTGTCCACGTAGTCTCCCATGAACAGGTAATTTGTGTCTGGCGACTTCCCACCAATTCTAAAGAGTTCCATAAGGTCGTGGAATTGACCGTGGACATCCCCACAGACGGTGACGGGGCAACGTACCTCTTGCACATTCGATTCTTTCGTAAGAATTTCTTTAGCCTACCAAGAAAAACACATTTAGGACAAAACAGTAGGAAGCTCCTCCATAAGCGGGTGCAGAGGTTGTTCTACCGCATTCGCACTGGAAACCAGATTTCACTCCAGTAGCTCTGGATTACCACTGAAAAACAGTTTGTTGGGTAAGCAAAGACAAAGTACATTTTACAAAGCCCTGTGCACAAAGGCAAGTGTGTTTGCTACTGTAAGGCCAGGTCATTAATATCTTAGTGTACCACAAGCACTGACAAACAAATTCAACGAACTAACTAAACAAATTAATTCCCAGCCTCCCCCAAAATGAAGCTGTGTGGAACTTCAAGACTTGCACTGGGTATACGACTTCCATCACCACTGGGGTCACCCATGGATCCTGTGCTTCTTCCCAACATTTCTCAAGCGCAGACAAGGCGAAGCACTACTCCAGAAAGCTTCACTGGCATCACGGGTAGATGTTATTTTCTCAAGCACAAGTTGCTTTTTTTTTTTTTTTTTAAACATACAGATTTTGACAAATTTCTCCATCTACATGTTCAACACAGCTCAGGTCTACTCATTTCAGCTATGTGAACTACAGCAGTGCTCTAACTTGACCATCAAAGTCAAACACTATTCAGTTTCACAATACCTAGAAGCTTTTACCTCAAGAACCACAGCTGTCCCCTCAGTATTGCAGGCCATCCCATGTCCTGTCAGCAGGAGTTCAGCACACAACTTGTATAAACAGAAATTAGTCAATACTCTCGCCATCTGCTGTAAGGCTATAAATACCAGAGGAGATATTTGCCGGGCTGGTGTGAGCTATTACGGTTTTTTGAACAACTTGATTTGCAAAAGCACACATAAAGCTGGATATTGTTTGATACGCACACTGGTAGGAGAACTATGACCTTCTAGACTTTTGATAGAAGTCATCTGACTTGCAACAATTCACTTACCCACAGACTCCCTCCTGCCACGTTTTAGTCTGACTACCATCTCAGTTGCTCAACGGATTGCTCTCGATCCCACGCAGCCATGCGGAACCACTCACGTCGCCACCTTTGCTGGCAACGCAGCAGCAAGCTGGGAGAACTCTTCTGCCAGCACTGACAGCTACTCTTCACTGCCCTCTCCTCTGGGATCCTGCAGGCTTCCCTCATGGCACTGCACACCCATAAACCTCAAGTGTTCTCCCAAGACCTTGATTTCGCAGCAGCGGGTCCATGCCATGAGGCCAGTGCTATGAACAGGATGCTCATTCCATGACAAAGCCAGCTCATCACGCCATCACTGAGCAGAGACAATGTTAAGAAAGGCTGCGCATGACAAAGCAGCTCATCTGGCAGAAACGCTGGGCAACCGCTACGGCAGCAGATAAGCTGAGCTGTGTTACTCTGCCAAATAACAACCAACGCGATCACCAGAGCAGGGGGTTGATGGGGCTGCCCCGGCTCTCTGGAGATACTGCGCTTTCAGATTGCATTGCAGTGAGTACGAGATGACCGGAGGCGTCCGTCAGGAAAGGGAAGCTTCTCTGCACATTCCCAGAACACACGGGAACTTAAGAATCCATTTCCCTTGCAGAGGGCACATTTCTTCTTCTTGCTTAAGCTAGAGGAAAACAAGTACTCCTAAGGTTCACTTTACTAACCTGGTACAGAACATCACTGCATATGCAAGAGGCGCTTCTCTCGCCCAGGGCACTTTTTGCCTGCCAGTTTTCCAATCCTCTTCCAAGCACAACAGTTTAACAACCTGTAAAGGCAGGTCACACACAACTGGAAAAGCAAAGTCAGAGGCAATTTAAACGTATGGAGCCACAACCAGCTTCCCTGGCTGTACCCAGCTGGCAATAAAAGGACCACAGATGGAGGAACGGCATCCCTGGATTTAGTAAGCTCTTCCTCTACACTCAGCACTTCCTCTGTTAACTACAGCCATGTTATGTAGCCTATCTGCATTACCCTATTATCATTATCAAATATCCTGTTTGCTTTGCTGCCTCCAGCTCATCAGCTGATGCAGAGCAGCCCTCCAGGCACATCTGAGGCACAGAGAACACCCACAGATAGGCTGGGTCCGATCTGAACAAAAGGGATGAAGGATCACCAGTGCTGAAGAGTCACCAGCAGGCGATGATTTGGCTATTCATCACCAAGTCCCTTAGATCAGGATGATGTAGCTCCCACCTGCGGCTACCAGGAAGCAGCTGCTTGCCGAGGACAGCATCAGTGGGCTGCCCGAGGACGCCTGTGTTCACATTCAAACATTATTGGCCTTGCCTCTTTTAGGGAAGGCGCATATTTGGAAAGAAAAACTAAAACCCAGGCAGTCGAGAGCTTGGAGAGCATCCAGCGTGCCCCTTGCACAGTATGTAACCTGAGAGACATGACCCTGCTCCTCAAACATGCGTCCTGCACCTGGACTCGAAGACATGGGGTCTACCTTGCAGCTCTAAACTGATTGCAAACTGCTGAACATACTGTGTCTTTGAGTGCAACAGTAGGACTCAAATTCTGTTCAATATCTTGAAAAGCACCCAAGGCACCTTTTGAGAGCTTCTACTCTTTGGGAGACAAACATAGAAGTCTCAAAACAGCTGCCTAGTGTGTTCTGACTTGCCCAAAGCAACAGATGGGGTTTTGTTGGAAGCTGGAGCAAACTTAACCAGAAAAGGTACAAGGTATTTCCTGCCTTTTTGTATCACGCGTACTGCTCCCTTCCCAGACGCGTATGAATAAATATACTTACCTCAAGCCTCCAGGGAAAAGATGCAGGACACTGTACAGATACCATACATACTTACCAGTGTCTCAACCACATCATCGCTCTCCACCTTTCTGATCTGCCCAGAAAACCCTTGCACCCATCCCGAGAACACATACAGGTGAAGTAGCACAGGCAACAGAGAAGAGCTCCTTTTGCACAGCAATATGGCAAACATACTCACGTTAAACGCGTCCTAGGAAGACGGGCCAGCCCGAGTCCTGAAATTTTGGTACCAGAAGTATCTAGAAGATTCCCCTCATGAGAGAGGATGAGCTAGCAGCTGAAGGGCAGCAGCTTCTTAGCTGCCTACCAGCTGTTACTGTGTAGCCTGTTTTAGTTTACTATGCAGACAAACATATATGCACATTAAGTCAATCGTTTTAACACTGCTGGTCCAAACCAGGTTTTGGAGCTGAGCTCGGCTGGTCACAGAAGTTTGCCCTGACATGACTTTCTAATGCAGAACAAGGTCTTTAAAACCTTAAGCATCATTAAAAAGACCTCAGAAAAGCAGTAACTAACCAGTGTGCTCTGCTTGCATATTTCACTGTGCAGAGCTAATGCTCAAGTCAAACAACTTAAAGTAACAAAAGCACCATTACAAAACAAGGATAAAAAACTCTGATGGAAGTAAGCTGCCCTGCATTATCATAATTTACTTACTTAGAAGGCTGTTAAACAACTATGACACGAAGTCATATTTTAGAAAATGGTGACTAACGTTATCAGCTTCCTAAGCATGTGTCCAAGTTGTTTTGGATGAAAACCATATCTAGGTCAGAATAAAAAGCAGCAGCTTTTAGGTATTTTTATTAAATAAACCTCCACAGTTCCCACGTCTGTACTCAAAATTAATTCGAAGAGTAGACTATTTGTGGGCTGTGAGCTTGCCCATCATCTCAACTCCCCTCTCTTTCCCAGTTTTGGATTCTGTAGATCACCTTTGTAGACTGGACCACAAGCTTGTCTGCTGTAGAGTCCTCAGTCTGCATGGAGGGAGGCTGGAGAATGCGCAACCCAATAATTTACTGGGTCGTCCTCGCAAGAAGAAACCGAGCAGCCTCAGGGGCTTGAACACAACCCATTAGTGTGCTGCTCCGAAACCAGAGATGCTACGCTGCCTTTGAGACTGCCGTGAGGATCACCAGGAGACTTATCTCTCTGCGAGAGACTTAATCAAATCCACACCAACTGTTGCACTGTTCAGGTTTGTCTATGATAATTGTGTAAGCCAATTACATGGGCGAGGGGATTACAATCCAGGAGGCAGATTTTCAGCATGGTGCTTTCTCCAGAGAAAACCAAAGACCCCAAGCACCTACTTTGCATACAAGACCCTTTGAGAGCACAGAAACTCAGCTCCTTCTGGCAAGATTCAGTCACCGTACCACGAGCTCAGTTTGAACTGTAGAGTCCCTTACTTTGGGAATCAGAGAAGCCAGCCACGGAGTTTCTGATCAAAATGCAACCGAACCATCATTCCATCAGCTGCAACGGACCGAACTCCTATGTCAACAAGTGTGCTAAGGATATTAGAATCTCAGGGAGCTGGGCCTGAACAAGAACCAGCTAGATTCTGCCCAAATGAGATGGAAGCAGGTGGGGACAGAGGTGTCCTGCAGGGGGGTACAGAGGTGTCCTGCACTTCTGCAACAAGGCAGCAGAGGACACACTGGAGACTCAAGAGCGACAGGGACTGTCATGGCACACACTGTGCTGCTAGAGGTACCTGGGCCAGCACACGCCAGGATGAGCATTACTGCTGGAGAGATGAAATATTCCTGGCCACGACTCAACACTCAGAATTTCATGGTTTGAACAGCATCCAGGATGCTACTTGGCTCCATCACTCATACTAATTTCACCAATTAGTGCAGAAGAGCTTGCTAACTCATTCCCCTAATATTATTCTTAGGTGAAATCATCTCAGAGGGCAAGAACATCATAGATATGTGCCAGCAACAGCAATAGTTCCTACAGCAGCAACTGGCTCCTGCTGCTTGCTTTGAAGGATCAGTTTACAATTACCATTCAATAACCGTACAAGAAATGCAAGTCTTCATTAGCGATTAGAATTCTTCTCCTCCCACTACTTCACAACACAAAGCTCTCAAGCTGCTCACAGCAATGAGACTGTAACCCTTCTTACACATCCAAAGAACAAGGATAGAAAAACAGAAGCTACAAAGAGAGGGACGGTTATGGATGGTTGGTTGCCCGTGTTTAATCTAAGAGACAGCCTTTTACTGGCCTTCTTTCATAGCCTGTTCTATCACCTTGCTGAAAAACCCTTTTCCTTGGGTTAAGCAGGATGGCTCTCAGCTCCCTCACCCACACCAGAAATCATTTGCTGACCTGACTTGAACTTCAAAACAAAAGTATTCAGAAATTTCCGTGTCCAAACTCAGGAGCGCTTCCTATTAAATGAATCCAACTTCTTGGCCTTTTAGCCTGACTTTAGCAGTCCAAAATACAGGTTACAACCTCTGCAAGTTCAAAGGGAGTTTGGTACAGCCAGCACTACGCTGCTATCAGTACCCAGTTAACAGTTTCAAAGCTAGCAACACCACAGAAAGCCACAACGGCACCTTCAATGCAGTGCAGCCATAATCGAAGGCAGAAATCTATAGTTTTTCACTGACTATTTAATGAGAGTGGAAAACGGTTTTAACAATCTTCTGCCATAAAAAGAGTCTAAGACCATGATGTTAAGAAAAGTAGGAGATGCAGGATGTCCGACGCACATTTCCCCAACTTGCTGGAAAATTTCTTGTCTACGAGCTCCAGCAGTGATCATAATAGTTTGTCCTTCTATTATCATTTAAATGTCAGCAAGATTCTATCTAGATTTCACTTCAAAGACCAGCAGAGCAGGAAACAAGTGTTTTCATGTCGTCTTGAGATGACATCTTGATTAACCGCATGAAGAAAACAAGATCCATTAGCTGCCAAAATTATGTCGTAACCGGGCAGAAAATGATTTTTACAGGTGCAAATTTCAAGAACTTACAGAGTGCAGAACAATTTGGCATACCCTCATCAACCCTAGCTATGTCCAATCTTTCCCTCAATACTGTCCATTATGGCAGCAATTAAAACCAAGAAATGACCCACACAGGCAAGTCTGGGATTAGTTTCTTTGATTCATCCCCCCCCTTTCCTTTTTTTTTTTTTTTTTTTTTTTTCTCCTTTTACTACCAAAGTCTTCCACAAATTTAAACCTGAGGCAAGAGGTACTACTGTGCTTGGCTTCTCAGAAATTAGCCTATGCAAAAAGGAGTGTTAAAAGTGAGACAAGGCTGGTAAGGGTTTCTCCAAATATTATCTCAAGCCAACAAACTAAACCAGCTTTCTGGCAGGGCTGCTCCACACCAAAAGCAAGCCCGCACACCCTTGAAGTTTTTGCAAGCTCCTTTCCACTACCAGCTGGGTGGTACAACCACTCCCCAAAAACATAAGAATAAGCCGAGTAAGAGCACCACAGAGTATTTACTTCATACTCAAGTCGTTTCCATCAGTTACCAGAACCCTTGAAGAACGAGGTGCTGTGACCCATGACACGTGTTTCACACCACGCAAGACAGGTTCAGGGTTCCCACCTGTCATGTGGATGACAAACACCCTCTCCACCTCCAGCTGCAACGTAGTGCGCTGAGCTGCCACTCTCCCTATTTACTTCGCGACCCCTGACGTACAGCCACAACCCGCTGGCATTATCCTCCAGCTTCTCAAAACACAGCAGCCACAGCTCCTTAATTAACAGCGCAGCCAGAGAAGAAGGGAAATGGTTTTCTGTAGCAGCTTGCTGGTTAGAGCAGCAGTTCCCAAGCAGCAATGCTTGGAGCAGCGCACAGATCGTGCTAATAACTTCTTTCAGGCTTATTAAGTGAGCCTCACACAGGAGACAGCACAGCCACAACGAGCTCTTACTCACTCTGCCTCACTCTTCAAGACATACCTAGTTTTCAAGCCACTGCTGTCGTTCCCTGCTGCTGCACCAGCCCTTCTCACCACACTCCCTCGGAACTGATAGAGCTCTGGAGAAAAAGTCATAAAACAAATGGACAGCTCCAGCATGGGACTTAAAAAAAAAAAAAAAAAAAAAAAAAAAAAAAAAAAAAAAAAAAAAAAAAAAAAAAAAAAAAAAAAAAAAAAAAAAAAAAAAAAAAAAAAAAAAAAAAAAAAAAAAAAAAAAAAAAAAAAAAAAAAAAAAAAAAAAAAAAAAAAAAAAAAAAAAAAAAAAAAAAAAAAAAAAAAAAAAAAAAAAAAAAAAAAAAAAAAAAAAAAAAAAAAAAAAAAAAAAAAAAAAAAAAAAAAAAAAAAAAAAAAAAAAAAAAAAAAAAAAAAAAAAAAAAAAAAAAAAAAAAAAAAAAAAAAAAAAAAAAAAAAAAAAAAAAAAAAAAAAAAAAAAAAAAAAAAAAAAAAAAAAAAAAAAAAAAAAAAAAAAAAAAAAAAAAAAAAAAAAAAAAAAAAAAAAAAAAAAAAAAAAAAAAAAAAAAAAAAAAAAAAAAAAAAAAAAAAAAAAAAAAAAAAAAAAAAAAAAAAAAAAAAAAAAAAAAAAAAAAAAAAAAAAAAAAAAAAAAAAAAAAAAAAAAAAAAAGAAAGAGGAAAAGAAAGAGGCTGGGTGGGGGCTAGCTGGATGTCAGGACCACTGGTGAAAGCATTTGCCGGGAAGGCTGTGGCATTCAAACAAACCTTTCTGATGAGCAACCCTGGCACATGACAAGGTTGCAGCATGGACCCTCTGTACTGTTCAGATCTTATCACTGTGGTAGTCTACGCAGGATCCGATAGAAGGAAATAGCTGCGTCTCCTGAAGTTGACACTGAGATGCACTGGCCAAAATGTGTTGCCATGAACAGGCATCAGAACACATGTTCCGCTGCCGAGAGAACCAAGCAAGACAAACAGGTGCTAACGCGACAAGGCCAAGTTTACCATCAGCAACATGATGCTAAAGGTAACACCAAACTAACTACTCTACCCTCTGCGCCTGATAATTATCAGTTCATCCAGGAAAGGAAACCGAGAGCTTCTCTGGACTGCCTGATGCTCAGCAATGGTCTCTGCTGGTCACTGAGATAAGAAGCAAAAAGAAAGAACAATCTTTGTTACCACTTTAATTCTTCCACTGTCACACCTTGCCAAATCCAAAGAAAATCCTAACTTAGTCAT